CCCCCAAAAAAAAAAGAGGAACAGGAAAAGACAGAAATTCCCAACTATAGAAAAAGAGGGACAAACGGGTAAGGCAAGAAGAGATGTTAAATATTAACAATACTTGATGTTGCTTGAGTTTGATGGATATCAAAAATCCGATATAAATACAGCTTTTTACGCTTTCCTTACACTAACCTGTTGCAGTTGCTGCTGTTGCTGCTGCTGCAACTGGTCCTGTTGTTGAGAGGAAGATTGCTGCATTTGGGACATTTTCATCTGTTTAAGAGAGGTATATGGTATAAGCACTTTAAACTTCAAATGTTCTATGGATTGGAAGAGAATAATTGAGATAAGCTACAGAAACGTCATCCTCATCAAAAGAATAGTTATGCAGTGTAATGGACAAAACACCACATAGCTAACGCCCGGAAGCAAAACATATTCTCGACTCTAGGAGAATAAAGTTAACCTTTGGTGAATTTGACTGTACTGGAGAGCAAATGGATCCATCATTCCTTGGAGGTTGACCATCTTTAGCATTAAAGTTTCCTCTAGGTAATCCACCGAACCCATAATTAGGTGAATTTCCAAGGTTACCTTGGGCTTGGGCTTGAGCTTGAGCTAGGACCTGTTGTTGTTGTGATGCCAAAAGAAACTGATTTTGGGTCTGTAAGTTGGGCTTTTGTACTTGCAAACCCAAGCTGGGCCTTACCTGGTCGATTCCCTGTATATATTATGAACAAAGCAGCCGATATGCACGTCAAAATCTCTGTATATCTTGAATGATGATAATTAAAAGCAATTTAACTTACTGTTAAAGGCCAACCCTTCAATGGTAGACCAGTGACACCTTGGTTCAACCCTAAAGAACAAGGAGAAAATATAAGGACTGAATTGCCCAAGTAAGATCATCTAATGATATAATTGACATACAAGTACTCCCATAAGACAAGATAAAACCTAAAAAGGCTCATCAGAAAGAGAAAATGTACAATACATAAAAAGGAATTTTCAAGAAAGTTGAGTTGGAAACACAGAAATCATAAACCAAGTCAATAAACAGAAAAAAGGCAGAGAAACAATTCATTGTGCTCACATAAAGATGACCAGTTCCAATATATTCCGCCCATTAACTGTAATACACTGCTGCTGAAGGCAGATGAATGACGCTTGAGATGTGATAGCAGACAATTACCAAAAGCGAAAAGTCAAAAAAAATATTTTAAAAAAAAGGAATTCCTCCTAGATATTTATGTTCCAAGTGCACTTGACAGTGTCTCAAGGAGAAGTAGAAGCCTTAAATCAGACTTAATTAATAAGAATCGAGAAGCTTTCAATATATAGTCTAGCAATCTTAATAGTTTAATGTGCACGGCAAAGAGCACAAATTGAAATTATCCATGATAGCAATCAAAAATTCAAACAATTCAGATTTGGAGGATAACGGCAATTCCACAGAACTTCACACTATTAAAGTATTAAGTGTCTTACTCGGAGATGAGCAGGTTTTAGGAAAACCCATGCATCATGTCAAAGTGCTGAGTACCACATCAGCTCAAGATGTGTAACTTGGACTCCTTATATGATCTGGGGCAATTCTCACCTCATAAGCTAGCTTTTAGGGTTAAGTTAGGCCCAAGGTCCATTTATCATGGTCTCAGAGCCAGGCCCATTTCATTATTTACTCGATGTTAGGCCGCCATCTTATTGTTCACGCTCCAGTCGTCCAGTATTGGGCATGCAGGGGGTATTGAGTCCCACATCGGCTCAAGATGAATAACTTGGACTCCTTATATGGTCTTGGGTAATCCTTACCTCATGAACTAGCTTTTGGGATTGAGTTAGGCCCAACTGGAGTTTGGACAATATGAGATGGGGGCCCCAACATCGGGTAAATAATGAGATGGGCCTGGCTTTGATGCCATGATAACAATGGATCTTGGGCCTAACTCAACCCCAAAAGCTAGCTCAAAGGGTGAGGATTGCCCAAGACATGTAAAGAATCCATAGAAACCATCCATCTCCCATGTGGAGTTTCATCACAAAGATAAACAAGATAATTTGTGAACTCACTGCTAAATGTGCATTTAAGATGGGTATATTTTCAATTTGAAATAATCAGTTCAAATAGATGGCCAAAGGGGTGTCAAAATTAAGAAATGAGCCAAGGAAGATCCCAATCAGAAGTTGTATCTCTTTTTTTTGTATACTGAAAATTATTCTTTGGTGGAAATACCTGCACCAAGTCCAGCCTTTGACTGAAGAATTGCTTGCCCGTAAATTGATGAAGGATCCATGGGCAAAGACTTCTGAGTGCCACCCAAGTTCATTTCCCCTTTAACATCCTACATAGTTGAAATAGGTATGGATCTTAGCTAGGTAAGAGAAGATGAAACACCGAGTATTCAACAAAGAAGAGATATCCTGTCAAGAAATAAGAGCTCATGTAGTTACAGTTGCCAGCTGAGACCGTCCTTGTAGCTGCTGCAATGCTGCAGACATGTTCCCTGAATTTCCTTGTAGCAACTGGCTGAATCAACAGAGAAGAAATAGAGATACAAATAATTCAATCAAACCATGCAACAAATAGATAGATGTTATGTTCCCTTTCAAAAATAGATAGATGTTATGTAAACTAATGCAATATCATATGGAATGGTTGCACCAATCATACCCTTGATGATTAGATGCTGACTTGAGAAGTGCCATCCTATTGGGGTCCATAAGAGCTGAAGATGTCTCCGAGTCCATGGACTGAGGGTGCTTCATTCGTTCCTCGTACATTTTCATTGCCAATACACTGGCAGATGGCTGCCCCATCATACCTTCGGAGTTGATAGCATTTATAGGACCACCAATGGGGGAATGATTTGGATCCCTTCGCTGTAACTGTGCATTTCTTTGTTGCATGAGTTGTAATTGCTGCATTTGTAACTGCTGTTGATGCTGCTGCTCCCTTGCTTTCATTTGTTGAGTCTACAATAGAAGGAAGTTTTTCAAACTTGATATAAAATGCCATAAAGCTTCTTTTAAGTAATTTGTGTCGACGGTGATTCCTTAAGTTCAACAAACCTCTATGTATGCTGCTGCTGCCTCTGAATGTTTTTCATTTGTCCGTGCAATGAAAATGTCCCAAAACACAGACCACCATTCAAAAAGAAATCCTCCAGGTGCATCAATAGCTATAAAAGTAGGAATCAGAAGATTAAAACGTAGATTCTCATCAAGGAAGTGACTCAAAACATGTCGAAGTTATGCAATTAATGCACAAGGCAATCTATTGGTGGTAGAACATGAACCACTCTGCAGATGGACAAGCCAAACGTGCAAAACCTTTAAACCAAAAGGAAATTTAAATGTAGAGCATCGTCTAACATCATTACCTACAGGATCAGTAGCAACATTTCCTTCCGTCATGAAAGCTTTTGCAGAATTATGCAGCTTTCGTTTCAGCAGATAGTCATGAATGTAAACATCCAGCCTAACAAAAAAACAAGAGGCCAAAAATTAAGGGTGAAAATCCATAACATTACAAGTTAAAAGATATAATATCCCCTCCGTGTCATTTTGTCTGGTACTATTACTATTTGATATGTCAAACAATCCTCTAACTTCTCAAAAAACTATTTAAAATTTTCTACATAGAAAAAAGTTGTATCTTTTATAGNTCTTGGCTCTTGTTGAGCAATTGAACCCTAAAATTTACAATCTTTTTATCATCATTGATAAAAAAATGATTCTGCTAAACCAGCAGGGCCAATTAAGAACTAACGATTATGAAACCCAAAAAAAAAAAAAAAACAATGAAGCTAGCCACAGGAAGTTGCATACATCTTATCTGCTTCCCAATTACTCTGCGCCATTACTGCAGGAAATTCAAACACAGCACAAACCACCCGCGTGTGTCACTGAGCTATAGGATCAAAACCGCAAAAACACAGTTAAAAAAAAGTTTACTATAATTATTAATTAAAACATGATTAAGGAAACGAAAGTGATTATCATAAAGAAGATCGCGAAATCATACCAAATTATAAATACTCCAGCATTACTGATCAAAAGAAAGATTTCCTAAAGAAGAACCAAAATTGAAACAAAATCAGCTCCCAAATCAAGAGAATTAACAAAATTCAAGCAATGAAAATCAAGATCTCCGCCTTTTTTGGGTTCAGGATCTTACAGTGAAACACTTGCAGGGGTTCGAATTCACTGAATCAGCTTAACAAACTCGAATTTGTACACAATCTGGCTCAGGTCAAAGATTATCTCAATCTCCTTGTAGATTATATGAATCAATCAAAATTAAATCCTAAGTATTAAAGTCCGTAATCTGATCACAACAGTAAATTAATTACGCCTTATTAAACACACATTAAATTCTGACACAAAAACGAACACAGAGTGCGTTATTGAGAAGAGCTTAAATCTTTGAGTCTCTCTTTTGCAAGAAAATTCTAGAATTTCCTATTGAAAAAACTAAAGAGCTCAGAAAATACTCTGAGTTGAGCATCCACTTTTGGAGAGGAGAGAGAATTAGGAGAAAATATCAGGGCAGGTTGTCCCGTAAGTACCCGAGCCTTAGCTTCGGAGCAGCTTTAAGTGAGACAATGACTAAAATGGTCCCCATTGTTTGCCGGTAGGTTTAATTTGGTCTTTTAGATATGTCAAAAGTAAGCAATTTTATCTCCATCAAATTACTAGCAAATACAACAACAACAACAACAACCCAATATAATCCCACTAGTGGGATCTGGGTAGAATAGTATGTACGCAGACCTTACCCATACCATGAGGTAGAGAGACTGTTTCCAATAGACCCTCGGCATCCTTCCCTCCAAGAACTCCCCACTTTACTCTTTGGGTGACTCGAACTCACAACCTCTTGGTTAGAAGTGGAGGTTGCTTACCATTAGAGTAACCCCTCTTGTCTAAAATTACTAGCAAATATCAAAAAAAAAAAAAAAAACTAATCAGAAATACTAGAAAAATCACGTCAGATTCCAAAAAATTACAACACTAAAAGTACACTAGACACCAGAACTAAATAAAAAAAAATATTGTACCTCAAAAAATTATATTTGATGCTAGATATAGATACGACCTTACTTGAGCATGATCTGTTCTATAGGCTCGTACCAATGTATCCTTGAGTTCTAAGGAGATATGAAACCAAGTCTGGTTGATGAGGCATGACTATTGGGCTAAAGCGTGACTAACTGCTCCCACGACCATCGGGTCATGGTGCCGTAGATGATCCTTCTCAACTCCAATCATGGTCGTTGGGATGATCTAATGGTTGTTTGACAGACTCTTCAAGTCTTTTAAAAAAAATAATATATATAGATTGAAAATAGCGAAAACTACTAAAATTGCACCTTCAAATATTACTTTTCATTAAATCATTTTTTTCCCACAGTTTTCGTTCAATCAACAACTAAAGTTTGTTAAGTATTTGACGGAAATCAAAAGTATTTATTTTTGGTAAATTTAAAGGATCAAAATTGCATATGAATATATTTGGGGGTAATTTTAAACCTACCCATAAACGTAAAGGACTATTTTTGTCATTCTCAGCTTTATGTCGTCCTTTAATTACGTAAAATAGGTCTAGCCTTAGGTTCGGTAAGAAATGTTGGGTCTTTAAGAGGCTTGAAGACGCGGTTCGGTGATTCCGTTTTAACGAATGGGTAAAGACAAGTAAGTTTACGCAAGCCCAGTAGTTTACGGATTTGTCTGTTTCCTTATTGGGAAAATAATTTTGACATAAACGCATGTATTCATATTTCATACTTAATTTCTTTTGATATAAAATAAAAATAGAACTTAAACAAATTAAGATAAGCTTAAATGAGTGATTAAACAGCAAAAGTTCATATAATTGATCGTAATTGTTTTGCGATTGAGATATAATTATATTTTTTCCAGTATTAGACACAGTGCTAATATAATTTGAATTATCTATTACAAGTAATATATTTGATTTTTTGTATACAAATGTATTTAACCACTATGTACATATGTTTTTGCTGAAAATCAATGTTTTAATTGTTATTTATACGAGATCTAATAGATGGAAAAGTTCACGTGTCAAATACCTCGGTAATATCACCTAAAGTTGACCAAGTATTTTTAAATTAAAATATTTTGTTTTATTAAATAAATAAATAAATTTAAAATCATGTGATTTTCTCTATAAAAAAAAAAAAGAAAGGAAAACTACATCTTGTACAAAAATTCTAATAAGGAAAATTAACTCTTGACTGTAATATTGTAACTACTGTAGAATAATCTTTATATTATTACTATTCATTTTGTACTATTTACACATACAACAATATATTTTTACTATGACGTCGTATATCAATTTCTATTATAATTTGTCACATAATAATTCCTTATTTAAATATTTATATTAACAAATGTGTGAACCAAATGTTTCTCAAAGTGTAGTTGTGAGGCAAGACATTCGACTTTTTACCGGCTCAGTGAAGCCAAAAGTGAAAGGTCTTACCGACTTGACAGTACTTCCAAGTTCCAACCATAATTTACAACAGCACACATACAACTCTGTCTGTGCAATAATGATTGTACATTCTTGCGGTCCTTAATTCCAAATTTCAAACGAAAAAGGATGATATTTGCACCTCTATTAAAAAGATAAGTTATATTTATCCTTCATTTTGTTTTTTATGGTACATATTAGTCATTTGTATTTTTAATCTAGTTCTTTGCTATTTTAATCGTCTAATTCTATGCCTTTACATTCTAGTTTGATTGGTAGTTTTCTTTTGCTAAGTACAAGAATTTATTTCATATTAAAAATAATTAATTTTTAATTGAGTACTTAAATTATTCATTACTATTTGATTCAATCTTGATCAATATATCTTGGTAAATGATAAATTTCTCAAAATGCAATTGGTTTGATAGTGTTAAGTTGAAAATGATATGTATGTCTCATATTTAAGAAGAAAAAAACCGATAAAAAAACTGAAAAAACCGACAAAAAACCGAATCAATAAAAAACCGACTTAATTGGTTTGGTTTGATTGCAATATTTGAAGAAGCGACTTACTTGGTTTGGTTTCTTTTTAGGGAAAAGTCAATCCAAACCAAACCATGAACACCCCTATACATGTATAAATATTAGACTTATATTTTAGGGTTAAGTCTTCTCATTTCATTCACCTCTCTTTAGACTCTTTTTTTCTTAGCTTATATCAAAGTCTCTCTCTAATCTCTCTTCAGTTTAGTATGTCCGCTTCTCTTAAGTCTTAACTTTGTGTCTCTCATTCTCGGCCTCTCCTTCCTATCGACGGATAACGACGCCTCTCCCTTATTAGACATTTATTTGAAATTTCAATTTATTTTATTTTGCGATGAAACATTTATTTTGTCTATTGCTATGAAAGACATTTGCTGCCTTTCAATTTAATAGAAGGGTAAATAGCAATAGCCTTAAAAAGTACAATAGCCAATATGATTGTTAGTAGCCTTAAGGCATACAATTCGGTCCGAAAATCAGAAATTCGAATTTACAAGCCAAAATATGTTAAATCCGATCTGATCCGACCGATGCACACCCCTAGGCTTGACACATAAATTTTTTAAGTTAGGAAGAAAGTTTTGGTGAGGGTGGGGGTGGGGGAGGAGGTAAAATAGACTCTAAAGTATGATGGTAGAATATCTTTATTAAAAAGGTAAAATAGAGGATAAATATAACTTATTTTTTTTATAGTCAAGAGACAAATATGATCCTTTTCCGAATTTCAAATTGTTTGGGCCAACTTGTTACTACCAAAATGAATTTTAATCAAGCTCCCAATTAATGCAGTATTTTTTTTTCAAATTCACTTCAATAATAACTAATCAAAAAGTTTCACAAATTCTAAATTGAAATTGAATTACATAATTTAACTCTTGAATTCTATTCACTTCCCCTCTTTTTAAACAGGTGATGTACTTCAATCCGCTTTACTTTAGCAGTCAATAAATTTGTGGTCATTACAACTGTTTTTAGTTTTATGTTTAAAATTTTAAAATATCATCGTTAATTTTATACTTAAGAACTTTGGATAATTTTTCCGTTTAAATTGTAAAAGGTTATATTAAATTATTTCTTCTGTGAAAAATGTGTTATCATAATATCACCCACCAATGAACATAGAGATAATCATTTTTAAGAACGTGAAAGATAAAGTCTTTAATCTAAAAACGCAAACTTTTACTATTCTTTTTACTAAGAAGGGACATACGCAATTTTCCAAACTCATATGTTCTTGAATCATATGGATAATTGACCCATGCATGACAAATATCTTTTTTTTTCAAAATTTAACATTTATCTAATTGAAGATATATTTCCTTTGTGTTGTTTTATGTGACACTTGTTTTTTGGTTTACTTATCATATTTTAAATAATATACCTTTAAAATTCTCATTTTATTTTTAATGAGATGGTTTTGTAACAACTAAATTTCGTTCATGAAAAATAATAATCAAGACAAGAAATATAACGACAAATATTATATTTGATTTCAAGTGATGGAGTTACAATCTCTAGACTATCTCAAATCTAAAGAGATGTAGTCATCTCATTCTTCTCCTCACAAACGATGGTTCAAGAGCTTGAGAGCTTGATCTTGAACTTGAAGGATTTCAGATTTGTGGTGCGTCACATCACAAACAATTGGAAGGTCGTTGTGAACCAGGATTGTTGTTGGGTTATCACGAACGGAAGATTTGAAGCCGTCCGCCTATGATTTGAGTTCGTTTTTGGGATTTGACCACAGACGAAGATTGCAGGTGTGGAGGGAGACCTTGATGCTATTCTTCAGAGCTTCTTTAGTCTTTCCTCCTGCTTACTTGATTCCTCTCTAACATTCTCTTTTGACCCCTTTATATAGGTGTGGGGTGGAGTAGTCTCCAAGAAAACCTTAGTGGGTCATTAGGCTTGTAGCACCCCGAAGAATTTTGAAGTACTTAAGCGTTATTAAGAAAGTTAATGTGCACTAATTATATTATTTTATGTGCAAACGAGGACTATTAATATGATGAATATCAATTGGATGTGATAATAAGTGTACGAGGCATATTATAAGTGATGTGTGGTATAAGGAGAGCCCTAAGTCTAAGTCAAGTTGGAAATTACATTATGGACCAAAGTTCCAAATGAGTATGCACAAGATAAAATTTTGAACGAGCATATTTACATTTATATAAGGAGTTATATGACGGACAACCTATCAAATGAAATATCTTCGAGTCTAGTTTCTAACACTTCTAACCGTTTGTCATTTGGACATTTCTACAAGAAGTTATGAACAAATTACCAAAGGTTGGCGGAGGAGACTACGAATGCGAAACATCTGAGGCCGCGTCCGAAAAAGAGGCTGGCAGTGAAGTACTGCCATAGCGTCCAGGTCTGCATCCGAGCTTCAAAGAGGAGTGAAGTGGGGATGCGAAGCATCCATAGCCGCATACGAAACCCAGAAATCTGAGACTATAAATACAAGGTCGGGGGAGGTG